GATTTCATTAGGCTTAAACCATCCCCATCAATGGCATGTCACTAGAATTGCCTTAGGTCTGTTGGAGTTGGATATCCTATCACCTCTCCTAGACTTCTTTTGAGAGACTGTGCTGGGGTAGCCAGCGTTCCCCATTTGTCTATAGAGGTGGATGCCAAACCATTCTGCTTGTAACGTATACTCCTTAAATACTTCTTTGGTGCCTATTGCTAGTATGTTGGAGCTGAATCAAGTGCAGTCTCTCCAGTGCAGTGTCCAGGGCAAGGATCGTACCGGAGTGCCCGTCCATCATTACTGAAGGAAGGCTAGGAGGACAGCTCTCCTGGGAGGTGGTGAGCATCAGGCACCCTGGCGTGGCCACGTCGCTTGGTTGCCCTTGTGACTCTGCTCTCCTTTCCCCCCTGTGCGCTGGAGCCGGTTCGCAGGTTAGGGTCCCGGCTTGAGGGTTGTTGTTGCGGTTGGAAATGATTGAGTTGGTCACGTTGCAGCAGTGCCTTTGAGGAGTGAAGAGCTGAGCCTGAGCCATGTCCAATAAGCAAGCACCAAGCTGATGGGAGTCGCTCTCCTGCAGTGCACTGCTATCCTCATTTCTCAATGCTCTGCAGTTGGGAAGCTAGGTGCACAGACTGGATTCCCCTTGGATCTAGTGGATGATTAGGGTCCCTGACAGGATGCCCTGTGCTCCACAATCTCATATGTGCCTTAGAGGATTCACGCTATCCAGGTTGTGCCTGTTACAGACCACAGATTTCACACCAGCCAGCTATGCAACCAAAAAAGCAGTTTAAAGCCAGCACCTTCGTCTTGGGCTGAAAACGGAAGGGCAAGTGGGCAGAAGTGCCTTTGAGCAGTTTCAAACCCTTTTTACTTCTCCCCTTCTTGCAGTGCTAGCTCCATATGTGTTGGTCTCCTGCTAGTATTGCTACTGAGTTGTTATAGTGGAACACAACTTATGCCTGCTCTGACACTCTGGCTGAAAACTAGTTTGTCGTTGTCTTTTTTTGAAAGGTTAAAGGGTGTAGTGGTTTGGAGTTTCTGTTTAAATAAATGTTTAAACTCATTCTCCTGTGTTCGGAGTCTTTTTTTTTTTTCCCCCCTCCCCAAGAGAGGAAGGGGAAGCATGTATATAGTCAGCTGGCTTCACGGCATTCTGTTGATTTTTTGTTTTGTTTTTGTTTACAGAAAGAGGGCCAAGGGGCTTGCAGGTTCTTTGCTATGGGGGAAAAAAATGTCAGGTTCTGTGTCCCTTCATTAAAAAAAAAACCCCAACAAACAACAAAACAACTCTTTTCTCTTGCTGCTGCATGTCTTCCTAGTGACGTCAGGGGCTTTTGTGTGTGTGTTTATTTCAACAGTTTGAGTGCCAAGTGGGAAATGAGTAACAGGAAGAGAGAGGCTCAAAGAGAAGAAGTACCTGGTTCTCGGAACAGCTTCTACTGAGCATTAAGGCCTACAGAAGCGAGAACCTGCCTGACACCTGCTCGGCCAGCTGTTCCTGCACACTGTACTTAATGCCTGTCACTTTTTATCAGGGTTTTTAGTAAGTTGTGAAATGTCTTGAGAGGCAGAACTGGGTTAAAGACTTAAAATTCACCAGAGATTTGGATACTGAAAATGCAGCACATCTCTGAGGAGGGGGATTGTACTGCAGTACCAGAAGAGGAAGCTGAGCTGGGGTGAATAACATAGCCTGAGTAGTGCCAGGGCAACACTAACCATAATAGCAAAGCAGCAGGGTAAATCTCTGTGCTGAGCTTGATGCTTTGGCTAAACTGTTACTAAGTTTTAAACCAGTTATCAGAGACTTTCTGGATACTGCTGGCTGTCTTGACCTGAAGCAATAGCTCAGCAAAGAGGGGTGAACTGCCCACGGTTAGCTCCGAAACAAAGATAACAAATGAAGCCTGGTGACTTAATTTCAATAACTTTTGTTTAATCTACAGTTTCAATCTCAGCGTTAGCCATTTGCCTGTCACTTAAGAGAAGTCCCCAACAGATGGATATATTTTACAGTATCAAAAGCTTTTCTGTGTGTATCTACCCCAGTCACCATTTGCACTCTGCTGACTTCAGGGTCCACTAAACACAGTCAATAAAACATAGTGCAAGGGAAACAGAGTTAATAATACAAGACGGGCAGTGGTACTGAATTTCTGAACTACTCTTTGTTTAATTCAGTTACACCTTTCATTAATTCAAGGAGGCTAGCATAAAGCTTACCCCTTTCCTACCTCTTGTCACCTCTTGCTATCCTATATTTCAAAGCTCTGAAGTTAGAGCATTGGTTTTGCTTCTCTAAACAATTTGGATATAGCAAATTATTCTCCCTTGTTTCGAGTCTGTTTTTTCTCTCCTCTCTAGGTTTGTACACACTTACACCTGGCTGGCACAGTGCAGCACTGACCCTTTCTGGGACCTTCATGCTTTTCTAGGCTGTGCCAAGGGATTGAGATTTCTGCCCATGTATCTATAGGGCAGAAGCTCTCCAACTTCTTTCAGGAGTCTGGTCCACCTATTGGAGGCTGGAGTGTTTCTTCATATTCAGCTTCTGACCAGTCCAGTTTAATCTAGTCGCTTTTTCTAGGTTCCCATGAGCTGCTGCTATGTTACTGAAGGACTTGCAAAAGGAGCTGCTGGATTTTTTTGTTCCTTGCTTGCTTCCTGTTGCAACTTTCTCATACAAAGTAGTCATTCTTACTTTGAGAACACAAACCACTCTGTGACCATTTAAAACAACTTTTACACAACAGAACTAGTCTAATATATTAAAAATCAGAATCTGGAAAAATAACTGACTTAGAAATGTGCAGGAACTGTCACCAATTATAAGCAGATGATTCTCTAAAAGAGTCTGTAGGACATCTATTTCCCCCAGAAGACCCTTTAACAGTGTGTGACAAAGACAGACCTTTAGCATGAGGCCAAAATCACCGAGAACTACCCTACATCTTGAGAAGAAAGCAGAAGGAGGGGTGTATGTTTGTCATAACTCCCTACCATTGCAGCAACTAAGATGAAAATAATCAGATGACTCAAGGAAAGGTGCAAGCCCTATGCTTTAAAGGTGCCTAGCAACTTGACCTGCAGGAAAACTCCCTTTTTTTTAATCTTAAATCTAACTGTTGATTTAAACCTGAACATACGAGTGAAACAGCTAACAGGTTTTCTGATGTGAAGTTCCTTAGTGTACTGTCTGGGGGAGAGGGGGTGTTTGGATTTTTTTAGCTGTAGCAGTTCTTAAACGTTCTGGATGGAAATTAAAAAATAAAAAAAAAAATCAGAAGCCAAGTTAGGAATCAAGGGAAGGTTGCCGTGGGAAGAAAACTCCTTCTCGGCTCCTGAAAGTGATACACTGAGGCGCAGAACTGTCACTGATCTGTTCTTCACACTTCATACAAGAAGCCTGGAGATAGGAACAAATGCTCTGTATCATGATTCTTAATTTCTAACTCCTGCCACATGCTCTCTTCCATTATCTTCTCCAAGTCCATCTTGAAACATTGTAGGTTCCTCGCCTGTGCTAATCTATTTGGAAGGTTTTTCTATGACCTCACTCCTCTCCTGGTTAGAAACCTTATTTCCAGTCTGAGCTTATTCATGACCTATTTTTGATCTTGCGTGGCATTATTCTTTAATTAAGTATTTCTTCTTCCCTTTCCTGACTCCGAGTCCCAGCTATTGCATGTAGTAAGTAACATGTTGGGATGGTTGTTCTGTTGCCTGAAGGGCCTGGCCGGTTCAGAGTATCTCTCTGCTGTTCTATGTACGAGTTGACATATAGACTCAAACAGTAAGTGCCTACTACTGCTAGCTTTTCTAACCCCCTGAATTTCTGATCCTGGGCTTCTTGTGTTGAGGAAGCATTTAGTAATACTCCTCCTAGTTCTCCTTTTCTAATTCAAACAATGTCACACTGGATTTCTAAATGGTAATGTTACAGGTCTTCAGCTGGTAAGACGTAGCCCCAGCATTGTCACCAGCATTCTAGAAAGGCATCTAAATAAACTCTTGGGCTGCTGCAGGACAAGTGTGGAATAAACCTACTTACACAGCTTTCATTATTCAACTGAACAGTGTTACAACAAATAAGATAAGAGCATGAGCAATGACCAAACAGCAGCTCTGGATCCTGCCGTCTAGCGCAGATATCAAGGATGGAAGAACACAGCAGTCTGTGTGCTGCAAAAAAGTTAACTGCTTACATGGCTTCTTCCCCTCCCTCTGACTTTTCCAAATGCCTTGTCTAAATGCTAAATAGTTTTGAAGAATATAGAGTCTTTTCTATGGCAAAAAACAAGGAACTCCTCACATACCAATCTTCTGTAGGTAGCTACAATAAGAATGCTACGCCAGCCAGAACCACTGTCACTGTTAGCACGTTCAGGGGTGAACATCTGCACCTACAGAGCAGTCGAGCAAACAAGAGGCAGGTGCTCTGTTTGGCCCAGCTCTTCTCATGAACGGCACTACTCTGTGCTTTTGGAGAAGGAAAAAACCTGAGTCTGCAGCCACTGATGAGCTAAAGGAGAGCAGCTCTCTTCAAATCAGACACCACTAGTTAAAAAAGAAAAAAAAAAAGAAAAAAGCCCAAGCCTCCCTAGCCTACAGGCCAAATATGATCCTGAAGAACAGCTCCTTTCTGATGGCTGGTTTGCTCCTCCCTGCTGTCCTGCTGACAACCTGTAGCAACAGCCTTTCTTCCCTGCTCAGCTGACTGAAGAGTGACAGCCTTACACCTACACCGAGACTCCATGCTGAGCTCACCGGATGGGAGAAGTGGCCCCCAGAGGGGCACCCCGCGTGGGGCAGCCCAGGGCACAGGTCAGAGTACACAAGTATCTAGTGTTCTGCTTACACGTCCGGAGCTGTTCACTTGCCGTACGTACAAGCTGAACACTCACAGCCAGTGTTGAGACTAGGGAAAGCACGAGTGTCTGTGGCTGGAAGCCTGGCAGAAAAGAGGCAGGGAATCACAGCAGCAGGTACAGTTGGACACCGCTTCAGCAGCGCCTCCTCTGCGGTGGGGGTGGGGGCCTACTCTTGATGGTTTTGCATTTGGGAATGTGTCTCTCAGCTGCTTGGGGAGCAAATCGGCGTCGGCAGTAGGGGCAGGCCACGTAGTCTGGGTTTTCGATGGAGGGCAACGGGGGCAGGTCAGACACCTTCCCTCCCCTGGAGAGGACCTGCTGCACCTGGCGGGCCTGGCGCAGGGTCTGGATGAAAACCTCGTGCTTCTGTCTCCAGTTGTTCCTTCTGGGTGGCTTATTCTGCAGAAGGGAAAGGCAGTCAGAGCAACTGGCACCACCGTCAGCCTCCATTCTCAATCTTACGCTCAGAGTCCAACTCGGGTCACCCATCCCTGGGCGTTCCCTGTTGATGTAAAACCCTCCCCGAGAAGCTGAGTCCCACGAAGGGGATCAAAAAGACCAGCACCAAAGAGGATTTGAAGGAAATACTGATGGAGATGTCAATACTTAGAAAGAGCTTGAGAATAACCAGAAAAGCAAGCAGTAGGGCCAAGAAGCCCTACTGCTCCTTGGGTTGCTATTGCTGCTTTGCAGGAACAAAGCTGCATGTTTCCACTGCCTTCGTTTTAATAGCCTGGATTTTCAGTCAGTTCCCTGCAGCCCCTGGTGTCACAGAGCTTTACTGCAGCAGACCCAGTCTGCATCCCGACTACACATTACAAAGACAAGTCAGTTAGGACCCCCACCCCCCATCTATTAGATTTTAAATGGATCTACTTATCCATTTGGCAAGAACCTTTCAGAGGTGATAGCTGGATTGTACCCCTTAGCCTCTTGCACACGTGAAGGCACTCGCATCTCAGAATTAGACGTCAAGGTGGAAGGAACGTGAGCAGTAGGTGTGGAACGAGGGAGGCAAAGGGACTGCACATTACCTGAGGCCTCTCTGAGCTCTTTCGCTGCTGATATTGTTCCAGTTCTGTGCCCCTAGCTCTGGCCCTGCTGGAGTCAAACACTTTCCTCTTGGAGCCTTGGCTCTTGCCGCAGACACTCATGTGCTTCTCAAGCCTGGTGTAGAGAAACTTACGTCCGCAGAAGCTGCACTGTCCAAGCCCCCCCGGCTCCACAGCACTGGCAGCCTGCATGTACAGCACCTCTGTGGACGGGTGGTCACCAGAATCTCGGTCTGAGAGGGCAGAGGGAGAAGGGCGATGTTTTAGGGCCAGCTCTGAACAAGAGGCTAAACACTCCATGGGTATGCGGCCTCGAATTTTGCTGTTGCTGGCCACCAGCCGCTCCTTCTTGAGTTTCCCCATAGCCAGCTCTTGGGAGTGGAGGGTGGTGCCAGGTTTGGGGATAGTGGCCTCTGCAGACTGCGCCCCACCAAAGACCCCCCCACCATCACCTGGCCTGACTGCAACTCTGAAAGTTTTCTCTTCGGGGCGCCTTGTGGCCTTTTGCTCATGGGTCCTCTCCACTTCTCTGTCTCTTCTCTCCTCTGCCTCGACAAGCTCCTTCTCTCTTTGAATCCTCCTAAGCTCCTCCTTTGTTCTCCTCAGCTTCTCTCTGAGGAGGGCCTCTTTCTTTCGAATTTCCTCTTCCAGGTTCCGTCCATCTGCCTCCAACTTTAGGATGTAGGCCAGCTCTCTCCTGTATAGAGGGGAGGCTGACTGTTTAGGCTCTGCTGTCCAAGGAGAGAGCACTGCATCTAGCTGAGGCCTCCCTGCTGGAGGCTTCCCTTTGCTCATTGCGCCAGGCCTACTATTTGGAGCTTCCTCCCTGTATGGGGAACTTCTGAGCTCTGCTGTGTTGACCGCTGGAACACTCACACCCTTGTGGTGAAAAATTGGTTTCAGGGGATATGCACGGTCCACTCCTTCTTTGCGTTGGGCTACTGATTTAGCTGGCAGAGTCTTGGTCTGGCTGGTGAGATACTTGCTCTGCAGTCCAGCTGAACAGAAGCCTCCATGCCTGGAGCTGTGTTGACTGCTTTCTGCAAAAAGAGAATGCGAATAGCTTCGGCTTTTTCGGGCGTAGAGATCCTTTAAACTTTCCTCTTTGTCAGGTATGAGTACATGCTGAAAGTTGTTCTTCTGGTGTTCCAGCTGGGAACTGGGAACAAGCTTAGTAGCTGGTACCACAGAATCCACCGGTGGAAACAAAGCCATTCAGTGCCTGAGAAAGAGCCTGAGGTTAGAAGCAGAGTCATTACAGACTGTCTTATCCAAAACTGGACAAATTTTCTCCTAACAGTATACACCTGGAGGCTACAATAAATATTAGCAAAGCTTTTGTAACTTTTCTGGGTTCTGTAAATCTTTGTGTTCCTTCCATCTAGGGAGCTCCCATGCCGCCTCTTCCAGTCCCAATCATTTGTGCAGCCAGAAATAAGATATGCTTTTATTTTGCTTTCTGTCTAAGCCCTGTCTCACCATGGTAGCAGCAGAAATATGCTGTACTGCCAGAGAAATTGTTATACTCCCCAGGCTGTTTTCCATAACGTCTCCCTTCAGTTTTGGCATTGTAGATCCACCAGTGTGGCACACAGGTCTGACGCAGGCACCCGGTAAAGCTCAGTACAATCTTCCCGTGGCTCGTTCTACCATATCCCCCAAAGCGTGTCAGGTACCCAGGCCGCAGGCCGGCCCCGCGGGCGGCGGCGCGGGGCGGGCGGGGTTACC